GAACCCGCCACCTTAGATGTATGTGGCTGGCGCCCCAGCCACTTGAGCCACAGGCGCGGAGCAGCCAAGTGGGTTCTTCATCAGAGCTGAGGGGCATGTTCAGGATCCTCACCAGGGATGCCTTCTGTTCAACCTCTGGGTCTTCCATTCAGGAATGGATGGGGTTTGTCTTTGAGCTGGTCACTACTAGGCAGGCCTGAGCCCCAGGTTTCCACCAGCGTGCTGGGCTCCAGTCATAGGGGCACCATGCACTCCATCTGCCCATCCTAGGGCCTCCCCTCCTCACTCTCGCAGCATGGGAATCCCTCTAGCGGCCCCAGCTCTTACTACCGGAGTGGGCTGGAACCTTTGCCCTTTGCAGCCGGCGGGCCAGTGCTCAGTCCTCTCCCCCGCAGGCTGGTTGGGTTTACGGCGGCCAAGACAAAACACCCAGAGCGCTGCAATGCCCAGACACCTCTGTGCACACCTGCGTGCACGCGAGCACCGCACTCACGTGGCCCGTTGGACCCAAATGAAAGCCCAAGAACACAGCGCTGCCGAGGGATGCAAAGTAGCCGATACCCTCAGCTTCTCGCGGTGCCGCCGCATCCCACCGATGAGACCCCCGAGCCTAGATACCAGGGTAGTGGAACTAACTCGAACCCCACCCAGCAATGCCGTAGCGCGGCAGCCGACCCCAGGGCTCCGGGTTGCGGCATGGCCTGGGGTTGCATACCATCAGTGGGCACCAGGTGCAGGTGGGGCGGGGCTTTTTGGATCTTCCACCTTGCCCCGATCTATCCAGGGGACGAGGGCTCAGGACCACGCGGTACCGCTGCCAGAGCGCGTGTCATGGGTGCCCTGCGCGCGAGACTGGGACTCTCAGGCCAGGGAGAGAGCGCCGAGAGCTAGGAACCGATGGCTGACGTCACGATACCGCCTCACCCAGTGACTTAGCCCAGTCGCCGCACGCCTGCGCAGCCCCGCCTCACCCCGCCCCGCGCGCCAGCGCTGCCCACGTCCGCCCCTGTACGACTGCGCAGCTGTGTCCCGTCCCCCTCCCCCGCGCGCGTGCCGTGACGTCAGCCCCGCCCCGCCCGCTCTCGGGCGCCCCCCGGCGGGCCGCGCGCTCAGGCCCCGGCCAGCGTCCCTTTAACTGCGCGGCCCGAGGGGTCGCGGGCGGCGGCGGAGCGGGCGGTCACGGGCGGCGGCGGAAGCCCTCTGTGCAGCGTCCCTCGCGCCCCCCGTGCGGGGGGCGGATGGGCGGCCGTGCCCCCGGGGCCTCAGCGGGGGCGCGAGCGGGGGCCTGCGCCGGTCCTGCGGGGGGCTGGGGTGGCACGGCCGGGTCGAGGCGGCCCCGCATCTAGCCCCGGGCCGGGCCCTGAGCGTGCGGACCCCGCGCCGCCGCCATGGCGGAGACCAAGATCATCTACCACATGGACGAAGAGGAGACGCCGTACCTGGTCAAGCTGCCCGTGGCCCCCGAGCGCGTCACGCTGGCCGACTTCAAGAATGTGCTCAGTAACCGGCCGGTGCACGCCTACAAATTTTTCTTCAAGTCCATGGACCAGGACTTCGGGTCAGTCGGCACTTGCGTTCGGGCGGGCTCGGGCCGGGGCGGGCCTATCGCCCCGCCGCGGGGACCCGGGTCCGCCCGAGCCCGGAGACCGAGATGACGGCGGCGGGGACCGGCCCGGGGCCAGCCTAGCCCAGAGTACCTCCCTGGCTCGTCAGGCTCAGGGTCTACCCAATCCCTTCAGCAGGGGTGGGGCTTAGGCTGGCCCGGAGATGAGGGGTGTCGGAGGAAGGAAGTTGCAGGGTCCTCTAATTGTCATAGAAGAAGGTGGGATGGGAGAGACAGAGACAGATCTGTCAGCTATGGTCAGCGACACACTTCCCTAGAACACTCCTCCAGGGTCCCTGTGACAAGGCAGAGGTCAAGGTTCACAGGGGACTGTGCAGCTTTGTTCCACCTGCCCTTGCTCTGAGATTATTGTCTTTGGGCCTCTGTCCCTACAAACTGTACAGCACTTGTGTTCCTAGAGTAGCCAGGCCATCTGCTGCTTTAGGGTGGCCTGGGTCAGCTCCTCCCTGCTGGGCCTTAGTGGTGGCTGCCCCAGGCAAGAGGACCTCCCAGTTGTGCCAACCTGGGCCCTCTGGGACAGGCTGGAGTCTGCTGGAAGTCTGACCTGGCACAACCGCAGGTAACCTGAGCCCCCAGCTCAGCAGTGGTTGCTGGAGGTTGTTCAGAGGCCTCCTGGGCCCAGCAGGTGAGCCCAGCCACCCTCAGGCCAGCCAGTGTCCTTATGTGTGGCTGTGTCTTGGGGACTTTGTCATTGAGGCTGTTTTCTGGACTCTGCTTGCATGGTTCCTGGGCAGCCCTGGGTAGAGTCAAACTTGGATCTCTCTGTGGTTTTCCGGGCTCAAGAGATGGTTGGACAGCTGGACTCTCTGCCCTCCTCCCACCAGAAAGGAGCAGAGAGGAGAGGGTATGTCCTTGGCAGGTGCTGTGCCTTCCTGCTGGTTGGGGCAGGAGGGGATGTTTCCTGACTCTCCTCCTATCGCTGGGCACCCATGGCCTCTTTGCTTCTGGCCTGGGGCTTCTTTGGCTGTGAGCATGGGTTATGTATAAGAGCACTTTTGTATTTAGTTTGTGATTTTAACAAAAATTACTAAAGTCACTGATGCTCTGTCATGAATTTAGGCTGTGTGAAATGCTTGGCAAGGAACACGCCCAGCTCCCAGGTTGCCACCCTCAGACCACGTTCTTAGGTACATCCCAGAGGGACCCTGTCTTCTGCTTCTAACACCCACCCACCAGTGTGGTGGGTGGATCTGTATCTTGAAGTTGGAGTGGGTATCACTGTGGGTGTTTGGGCAGGCTCAGGGGTGGCCAGGGTGTAGGCATTGGTCAGAGGTGCTTAGAGTAGGAATTCAGGGAGGGCAGGTTATGGGGAGCTGGGAGGCAGAGGCCAGGCTGGCTTTGGAGATTGGGGGTGGTGGGGGTGCACAAGGAGCAGACAGGCAGGGAGCTCACTTCCTTCCTGGGTCCTGGCTGGTGGCTTCAGGAGCCCAGAGAAGAGCTCTCCTCTGTTGCCCCACATACTTGTGGAGCTCTCAGTACTATGTGAGAGCAGCTGCTTATGTGAACTAGAGCGAGCTGGACCGCCCTGGAAAACAATGACTATAGCTGGAGGGTGGGGGGAGAGAAGCCAGGTCCTCGCCTGTGGGTCCTGGCCCCTGTGGGATGGGTGGCCTCAGACTAGGGCCCCTGCTACACCCCCTGATCCACTCTGGGTCCAGCCCTGAGCTCCCCAAATTACTGGTCCAGACCACAGCTGTCCGCCTAGAAAAAAGGGGGCTTTGAAGCTGTGGCCAGCCCCCTACTCCCCACATGCATCTTGGCCAAGAGGATGAAGCCCTTTTCCTGTTCCCCACTCTGCAGTATAGGTCACAGCTGTTCTGACCTGGGATCCCCAGGGCTGCAGGAGAGTCTCTAGGCCTGCAGTGCTGGCCTGGAGGTGCCCAGTGTGGGGCTAGTGGGTAGCAGTGCGGGATGGCGTCTGACCCAGCCTTAGGAGTGAGGCAGAGGGAAGAGGGTATTTGGCTCAAGGTTTCAGCTGGACTTGGTGCTTTGGTCACCTGCCTCTTAGTGGCTCTGGCTCCTTCATCTCCAAGGCTGGGGTGACCCAGGTCCAGGGGCTGGGAGCTGGATTGAGGGAAGGGTATGGGGCAAGAGCCTGGTTTCTGGGACCATCCACCTTTGGACACAGGTGTCACAGCAGTGCCTCATGCGCTGGGTGGTTTGTGGAGGGCTGCAAGCCAGGGTTGAAACTCCATGTAGCCCAGGCTGCCTGTGGGAACTCCCATTCTTCCCTCCCCAGCTGTGCTACCTGGGGTCTGTGGCTCAGCCTCTCTGTACCCCACTTTCCTGCCCTAGAGGGAGAGTCCAGGCAAGTCACCCATGGAGCCCACAGTTAGGGCCAAGTGCATGCCCTTGAGCCTGGGTAGCCTGAGTTTGAGGAGGAGGCTCAGAGAGGCCCAAGGACTCTGCAGCACCTACAGACAGAGCAGCTAGACCTGGGGCCAGGAGTAGGGGGTTGGGGCCTGCTGGCTGGTGAGACAACAGGTTTCTAAGACTGAGGGCCCTGCTGTACCCATGGCTCAGCAGGAGCAAGATCTTGGAAGGTTCAGGATGTCTCTCCCGCCCCCTGTGCCACCTCGTCTGCCAGCTTCCTTCTCTCCTTGCTGTGGGAGATTGGGGCAGTAGAGCTGCTACTGTGGAGCTGGCCTGTGGCCTGCTGTGGCCTCTGGAAGCCCCAGGGTCTTCCATGGCCTGTGACAGTGCAGGGCTCCTAGGGCACTGCCTCAGGGCAAATTCTTCCCTGAGTAGGTCTGCAGGGTGGCAGCCACAAGTTTGAAGTTAACTGGGATCTAATTCTGATGTGGGGGCAAAATGCCAACAGGGGGTGTTCCTGGTCAGTTTCCCCTGAGGCTGCTCTCCCACCTGGGAGCTAAAGCACACCAGGTTGTTGGGAAGCGTTTTCCCCAGGCCTCCTGCCTTCTGCCCACCCCAGACCCTACATCAGTTGTAGGGTCCCTACACCAGAGCTCCTGGGGAGGTTTTGCGGGCTGCTGTGGGCAGCGCTGCATTCTCTCCGGGCGCTCAAACCTTTTGTCCTGGTGCTCTGGCACCTGCTATGCTATCTGGCCTGGGTGGAGGGAGATCTAGGCCCTGGGACCTGGGGCAGGGTTTCACTTGCCTCTCAGCTGTCCTGGCCCTGCCACCTTTCCCCTGGCCTGGCTAGGCTGGATCTAGGGTGCTCCAGTGCCTGCTTCTCAGGACAGGGCAGGAAGCTCTGTCACATCCATGGGAGGACTTGAGCTCCTCAGGCTGGAGGGGACCAGGGGAGTGTTTCAGGAGGGCACACAGAGACCTTAGGTAGCCCTAGGTCATTGTGAGGCCCTGGCCTGTGGGCAGTTGAGGGCTCAAGTTGCTTTGGGCAGTGGGAGAGGGCCCTGCTAGAAGAGCAGGCAGGCTCCTCTGTGCAGGTGCTGGGGCGGCTCCCCTGTTTCCCTGCAGTGAGTCAGAGAGGGCTGAGGCTTGGGTGTGGCAGGGAGAGGCCAGTGAGCCCTCTGGGGCCTGGTTGGGGTCAAGGTGGGGATATGATCCCCGCCAGCACCTCTGTTGTGGTTGGGTTGCTCAAGAGTTAGAGGCCTGGCTGTGATCTCCCATGTAAGGCTACAGTTGGGAGTGCCCTTGCCCACCCTGGGTGCTGAGGCTTGGTGTGGGGCTCATGGCCTTCCCTGGGAAGCCAGCCCAGCTCTACAGTACTATGGCTTGGGAGTGGGGGCATCCACACTGGGGCTACTGAGAATTGATTCTCTCTACCCATCATGTGCATCTACCTCAGTGGTGTGATCTGGCTCTGGGTGGCAACTGCAGGACTCTAGAAAGCTGGGCAGGGGTGCTCTTCCCTTCCAGGCTGGCTACTCTGCCCTACAGCCTGGGGTCTTGTCCCTTGTTCATGGGGTGGAAGTATGGGATGCCAGTTCCTCCAGGGGCCCCTGCTCCCTGCTGCTGCCCAGGACTGGCTCACTCAAAGTGCTCTGGGGCCAGTGGGCCTAGGGTGGCAGGCTGGAGTGGCCAGAGCTGGCAGCAGGCCCAGCGGCCCTGAACCTGCTTCCCAGGTGTGTGTCCAGGGCTGGCCTCTTAGCTCCTATTTCTTCACTTGACCCAAGTCCTAGGTGTGGAAAATCCCACTGTGCTGGGCGAGGGTGGGTGCCAGGGGGTGGGGCACCAGCCTGCCTGGGCCCTTGGAGGCCACCGTCCCTCATGCCTTGCCCTCTACCTGGCCTAGGGACCTGCCATGCCCTCTGTCTCCCTCTGAGCCCTGCTGACTTCTGCCCTCACCCCTTTGAACCTTCACCATGGTCATCAGGTCTCCTTTCCAATTTGCATTTCCTGATCCTCTGCATCCTGCCAGTGTCTTCCCTGCCCCTGACTTGAGTCTACCTGATGGGTGTGAGGAGTCTAGATGTTGGCCAGTAAGAACAGCAGATAGGGTTTATTATCTTTCAGGGCTCAGATTCACAGGTGTCATGGCCCTAAGAATCGGGGCTGGTCTGGTGAATGGGGGTCTGTTTTGTCTCTCTGGGTCAGTGGATGGGCCAGGAGAGTGGTGAGTGTCCTGAGTGTCTGGACCCTCCTTGGAGTCTGACTAGTCTACTGTGTGCTGAGAAGCTGCAAGCCAGGTTGGGCTGATGCAGGGAGGAAGACAGACAGGCCCCACTGAGGGGTCCGACTCTGGGCAGGTACAGGTGGAGCAGGGTGAATGTGAGGACTCTTCAGCCAGGTGCTCTAGGGGACTTAGGGAGGGCCTAGCACCAGCCCCTATGAGTGGAGTGGTGAGCAAGAGGCAGCCATTGAGAAGCTTGGGCTACCCTGGGTGAGTGGGATCTGGGGTCTGAGTGCAGGGGCAGAGTGTGTAGTCCTCAGCTATGAGGGGCAAGGTAGGGTGGGGGCTTACCTGACAGTTGCAAGGAGGTAGAGCCTCATATGACTTTCCATGACCTGGTGGATTTGGGGTGTGGGACAGAGAAGAGCTCACAGAGAAGAGCCCCACAGGGTCTTGGGCAGTTGCATGTAGGGAGCTGCTGCTGTGAGATGGGGATGCACATGGGGGCTATCAGTCTAGGTGAGGTAGGGGCAGTGGGAGAGGCCTGATGGAGCAAGGGCCAGGCTATGTGTAAGGGAAGAAGCTGGGGGCTCAGGACCAGCTGAGGGGGTCCCTGTGGGCCATCCACAGTTACTGTCCTAGGACTGGAGGGCCAGAGGATCTGGGGCATGACAGAGGGTGAGGAGGGTCCCCAAGGAGAGAACGTGCTTGGTGGTGGCACCCACAGAATGACGTGTGTGTCTGGCGGGTGCCCTGCGATCCCAGCCCTAATGTGAGGGCCCTGTCCCTAGAGTGGCAAGGTCTACCTGGGCAGGGGTCTCAGGCCATCTGCCCACAGGGTGGTGAAGGAAGAAATCTTTGATGACAATGCCAAGCTGCCCTGCTTCAACGGCCGAGTAGTTTCCTGGGTGAGTGCAGTATCCTGGCCTGAGAGTGTCCTGCTGGGGTCCCTCCATCACAAGGGTTGGGGCTTTTCTTCGGGGAGGGGATGAACACTGGCAGGCTGGACACTTGTACTGAGTGCTTGCTGGGGTGGCCTGAAAACAGGTGGGTGTCTTGAACTCTCCCTCCACAGCTGGTCTTAGCTGAGGGCGGTCACTCAGACGCAGGCTCCCAGGGTGCTGACAGCCATGCCGACCTGCCCCTGCCGGTGGAGCGGACAGGTGGCATCGGAGACTCCCGGCCCCCCTCCTTCCAGTAAGGACACTGGAGAGCTAAGCCTCAGTGCTGCTGGGGGCAGGGGGTGGCAGAGAGACCCCTATGGGTGGGTGGTTGGGCAGCCTGGCCGGCCCACCCACCCCATTCCTGTCCCATAGCCCGAATGTGGCCAGCAGCCGCGATGGAATGGACGTCGAAACTGGCACAGAGTCCATGGTTAGCCACCGGCGGGAGCGAACCCGACGTCGGAACCGAGAGGAAGGTACCATAGTTGTGCCTGCCCAGCCTGGACTCTAGACCTCCCTGGGACCCCCATGGTGTACCCCAAGTTCCTGCTGACACCAATTATTATCCCCCAACTAGAGGAGGTCCCTGGGTAAGGGCTGCAGGCCCAGAAAATTTGTTGTGCTGTGGCTCCAGCCCTGTAACCTCTGGGTCCCACAGTCAGCTCCCTTCCTGCTGCCCCTACAGCCACTCGGACCAATGGGCACCCGAGGGGGGACCGGCGGCGGGACTTGGGGTTGCCCCCGGACAGCGCATCCACTGTGCTGAGCAGTGAGCTCGAGTCCAGCAGCTTTGTGGATTCTGATGAGGACGATGACACCAGCAGGTGTGTGCCATGCACAGGCATGAGGCACACATGTATTTGCTTGTACAGGGGCCTGTGCTGGCTGCATGTGTCTGTCCTCATCTTTGCCTGTTTGTGTGGAGTCTGTGTATAGTGTGCCTGTGTCCCCACCACATATGCAGCACCCTGAGGTGTGGGCACCAGGAGCTTAGCCTACTCTGGAGCAAACATGACCTGGACCCTGTGGTTCCCAGGTTCAGCCCAGTTGGAGTGGGGTGCAAGGTTTGACCCCTCCACTTGTGTCTCTCTCTCTGACCTCTGACCCCTGTCCCCAGGCTGAGTAGCTCCACTGAGCAGAGCACCTCGTCCCGGCTCATCCGGAAGCACAAGCGCCGGCGGCGGAAGCAGCGCCTGCGGCAGACAGACAGGGTAGATAGTGGGCAGGTGGGACAGGGGCCTATGTCTGCTGCTGCCCCCTGCCGCCCCCTGCCACCCTCACCCACCTGCACCCACAGGCCTCCTCCTTCAGCAGCATCACTGACTCCACCATGTCCCTGAACATCATCACCGTCACGCTTAACATGGGTGAGGCCTCAGCATTGATGGGCCGGTGGGCGAGGGGCTGGGGTGGCCGGGTGGAAGCACAGGCCCTGGCTCACCGCCCCCCTCGTAGAGCGGCACCACTTCCTGGGTATCAGCATCGTGGGCCAGAGCAACGACCGGGGTGATGGCGGCATCTACATCGGATCCATCATGAAAGGCGGGGCTGTGGCCGCAGATGGCCGCATTGAGCCGGGCGACATGCTGCTGCAGGTGGGGCCACGTGGGCTAGAGGCTGAGGTTTTACCCCACCCACTGCTGCTGCACCTCACCATCCCCACCCCCCCAGGTGAACGATGTCAATTTTGAGAACATGAGCAACGATGATGCTGTGCGGGTGCTGCGTGAGATTGTGTCTCAGACCGGGTGAGGGCCAGGCCAAGGCGGTAGGGGCTATGTGGGTGGTGTGTGAGATCATGTCCTGGACGGGGTGAGGGCTGGGTCGGGCCAGGGTAGGCAGTACAGGGTTGCGAGGCACAGGCTGGCTGTGACATGTCCACCCCACAGGCCCATAAGCCTCACGGTGGCCAAGTGCTGGGACCCAACTCCGCGGAGTTACTTCACTATTCCTAGGGGTGAGTGACCCCTGGGGTGGGCAGGGTGGGGGTTGAGGTGCCTGGCTCGGCCTGAAGGACCTTTCTTCTCTGTACTCCTTGCTCTGCTCTCACCTCCCCAACCCATCCGTCTGTCCATCTGTCGTCTCTTGCCACGTGGTGCTGCCCAGCTGACCCTGTGCGGCCCATTGACCCAGCCGCCTGGTTGTCCCATACGGCGGCGCTGACTGGAGCCCTGCCCCGCTACGGTACGAGCCCCTGCTCCAGCGCTGTCACACGCACCAGCTCCTCTTCACTAACCAGCTCGGTGCCCGGCGCTCCACGTAAGTGGCAGCTCACGAGAGCCCTACCAGGACACCGAGACCCGGAGAGAGAGGGTCTACCAGCTGTGAGCACTGGTGCTCATGCCCTGTGGCTGGGGCCCTAGACACTTGTGCAGTCTGTTCCCAGTGCCCTGGGCACAGATGTTCAGATGTTCGTGTGTACCTCATGTGGCCCTGCCCCATTTGCCGTATTGGGAGTGGAAGGTGCACGCAGGCCCTGCCAGGTTCTGGGTGCACTGAGCAGGCTAGGGTGGCGCAAATGGCCTCCATTCTGCTCTCCTGGCACTAATACAACTAACAGCCCAAGCTTGCAGAGGAGGGCGGGGATGAGTCAAGGAGGGGAGAGGAGGGCCTGTGCTGCCCAGCTAGGCTCTGGTCAGGCAGATGGTTGGGCTCTGGTCAGGCAGGTGGGAGTGTCTTCACTGTAGTTGGGCTCAAGATCCTGATGAGATATATCTGTGGGGCGGGGGCTGGTCCCCTGCCCATGCCCTGACCCCTTGGGTCCACCCTTCAGTGGGTTTGGACCCGCCATTACGTGGGCCGCCAGCCTGGGCTCCCAGGAGCAGGCCCCACCCAGAGCTGGTTCCCAAGAGGGGGATGGGGCCTGGAGTCTGCTGTGGCCATCTGTGTTGAGCCCCTCACCTGTCAGCCACTGGGTGCTGAGGAGGGGGCCATGCTTTACAGAGCTGGAGGAGGCCCCACTGACAGTGAAGAGTGACATGAGTGCTGTTGTCCGGGTCATGCAGCTGCCAGATTCCGGCCTAGAGATCCGAGACCGCATGTGGCTCAAGATCACCATTGCCAATGCTGTCATTGGTGAGTGATATCCCCTGCCCAGTGGGTCCCACTTGCCAGCTGTGGGGTGGGGTCTGGGTCCCTTCCTCAGCCAGGCAGGAGTGCTCAGGGCCTGACTCCATGGTGTGGCAGGGGCGGATGTGGTGGACTGGCTGTACACACATGTGGAGGGTTTCCGAGAACGTCGGGAGGCTCGGAAGTATGCCAGCAGCCTACTGAGGCACGGCTTCCTCCGGCACACGGTCAACAAGATCACCTTCTCAGAGCAGTGTTACTACGTCTTCGGGGACCTGTGCAGCAGTGAGTGGGGGCTGCTGGGACTGTGGGTGCAAGAAGGGCCCATCCACCCTGTTCTTACTTGACTCCCCCTTCCCCACCAGATCTTGCGGCTCTGAATCTCAACAGTGGCTCCAGTGGAGCCTCAGACCAGGACACACTGGCCCCACTGCCCCACCCACCTGCACCCTGGCCCCTAGGTCAGGGCTACCCCTACCAGTATCCGGGGCCTCCATCTTGCTTCCCACCGGCCTACCAGGACCCTGGCTTTAGCTACGGCAGTGGCAGCACTGGAAGTCAGCAGAGTGAAGGTGAGATTCCCTTGGGAGCCCTTGTCTCCCAGCCCCCTGGCTCTACCCTGCCCCTGCTGCTGCCATGTTCTCCTGCTGTGTGCTTGGGCCTTGGGTGGGTTTTTCTGGAAGAGGCAGGTGCCAGGTAGACCTGAGAGCCAGTGCATGAGGAGACAAAGGAAACTGTGTGATACGGGGACAGCCCAGATCCCACTTCCCCTGGCTGAGGGGTGTGGGTGGGAAGGAGTCTCAGAGAACCTGTAGCATCTGGTGGTTGTATGTGGTAGAGTGGGGGCTGCTGTTTAGATACTGCAGAGGCAAGAACAGGAGACGGTGTGGCATAGGGCTGGGCATTAAGAGTGGGTGGGTCTGGCTGGAGGTGTCAAGCAGTATCACCACAAGCCTCAGGCCAAAGGGAAGGATGGTCTCTAACCCCTTTGGTGGTAGCTGCAGCCCACAGGGAGCCAGGTTTGATCAGCATTACAGACACCCGTGTGCCATGGCAGAGACATCAGGGGAGTCGGGGAACCAGGAATGTCTTGAGGAGGTGACTCAATTGGAGCAGAGGACTGAGGCTGAATGGGGTGCAGTGAGACCCTGTGCCTGAAGGGCCTGGGGAGAGAGAGAAGGAACGGAGAGGTAGGCTGTGTGGTGGGTGCTATGGAGAGGCTGTGTTGGGGTTTCTGTAGACCCTGGACAGGCCCTTGCATCCACTCAAGCACAGCCAGCTGCAGTTAGGTCCAGATGCAGGCAGGACACCAGGCAGGGCCTGGTGTGTGACTCGTGCTATCCCTTGCTTTGTGCTGGGCAAGCCTTAGACTGAAGGACTAGCGGAGTGGACCTCAGGGCCGGTAAGCCAGGGTCCCGCCCAGTGTCCCTCCCAGCATGTCCCTGGGCAGCTTCCTGGGAGCCCAGGGTAGGGCTGAGTGGAATTGTTGGCCAGGGCCCCGGGGCTGGGTGAACAGTGGGTCTTTGGGTGGGGAGTCCAGGATGGCTAGTGGGAGCTCTGGACACACAGGGGGCTCATTGGTGCCTCAGTTTCTCAGCTGCAAGACCAGGGCCTCAGTTCAAGCATCAGGTGAGGTTTGGGGGTACGGAGGTGTCCCCTAGGGTCCCTGCCTGCTGCTGCAGCTGCTCCTGCTTCTGGGTTGGTGCTGGCCCTGCCTGTGTGTCTGCATAGCTGCCCCGACCCCACCCGTCTCAGGAAGGACCACTTGGTCCTGTTCCTGGTTGCCTGGCAGTGGCTGGTTGTCCTGGAAGTGGCCAGACCTGATGCTGACTGCCTCCTCCTTCCCCACTTTCTCACTCCCAGGAAGCAAAAGCAGCGGGTCCACCCGGAGCAGCCGTCGGGCCCCAGGCCGTGAGAAGGAGCGCCGGGTGGCTGGAGCTGGGGGCAGTGGCAGTGAATCGGACCACACGGCACCAAGTGGGGCAGGCAGCAGTGGCTGGCGGGAACATCCGGCCAGCCAGCTTAGCCGTGGCAGCAGCCCACGTAGTCAGGCCTCAGCCACTGCCCCAGGCCTACCCCCTCCGCATGCCCTGACAAAGGCCTATGCAGTGGGGGGGGGGCCTCCAGGTGGGCCACCTGTCCGGGAGCTGGCTGCTGTGCCCCCAGAGTTGACAGGCAGCCGCCAGTCCTTCCAGAAGGCTATGGGGAATCCCTGTGAGTTCTTCGTGGACATCATGTGACTGACGGCTAGTGCCTTCAGTCCTGCTTGGGGTGGGGGAGCTGGTGGCCCTGCTGCTCCTGGAGTGCATGTGGGCCTTAGTGCAGCTAGGATGGGCAGTGGGAGCAGGTGTGGGGGCTGAGGCCTAGACTGCTATGGTCCGTACTCAGCAGTCCTGCTCCTGGAGTCTCTGACAGTGGAACTTGCAGCCGGGAGACCCCATCTCTGTCCTTGGCAGGTCTGACCTGGCCCCTCAGCATGAGCCTCAGGGACCCCGCCCCCTTTCGTCTAGGGGGCGACCCCTCCAGGATGAGGAAGCCACTCTTGGCCTCTGTGCTGACACCCACCCTCATGTAGTTCATGGACCCTCCCTATCTGGCCCAGACTGGGGGACCCAGGGGGTGGAATTTGAGCCCCCAGCTCCTTTGGCTGCCTGGAGTAGGGATCTAATTTATTTATTTATTGCCCAGCTGGCACACCCTAGGGAAGTGGCAGCCTAGCCCCACCCACTGGAGGCCTGCACATCCCTCCATCCTGTGCCTCATGCAAACATGGGAGCACAGATGTGCCTCAGTGTATAGAGTACAATTGAGCTGCGATGGGTCAGGCTGGACAGTCTGCCTATGATGTCTTAGCCAGGGTAGAAGGGTACAGGACCTCTAGGGCTGGGGCCCTAATAGGGGTGGGGGCCTGGGCAAGAACAAGGGTCAGCTGTCCCATCCTCACAGCCCTTCTGACTGTCTGCCTGCGTGCCCTGCCTTCCTGGCACCTCCGGCCCATGTCCACACTGTAGATACTATATCAAAGTCCCAGCATCTGGATAGTTAACATAGAGTGGCTTCTGTGTAAATGCTATTTTAAACACTAAAAAGCATTTAATTTTATGGACCTATGTGTGGCCTGTGTGTCTTCTCTCCACTTGCTGCCTTAGGAGATGGAAGCTTGGGGGTCAGTGCAGCCTCCCCCACAGGCCCTGTCCCCAGGACTGACCCAAGTCCCAGCCTCTGTCTTCTGCTCCTGCTTAGCTTCCAGGCTCTGTCTCTGGTGCTGGCTCTTGGCTCCAGGGGTCCCGGTGGCTGGCTCTGGCCGTGGTGCTGACCCACCAGCCCCCTCTGCCTGGGCTCTGTCCATGGTGCTGCTGGCAGGTGTGATTTCCATTCTGCCCAAGAGGGCTAGGTCAGGGAGGGAAGGGTGCTGGGTCCCATCCCCTCCTCCCTGGTTACAATCTGTGCCCACCCTTGTGTTGCTGCAATGTCTGGGGAGCATGCTTGGTAGGGGCCCTAGGCTAGGCATGACTAAGTCAGTGGGGCCCGTGGGTGCTTGCCTCATGGTATTGGGGTCATGTGGTCCTTTCCTGTGTGTTGTTGGCCTGGAGGTCACAGTGGGGTCAGGGTTATAACCTAGAGCTAGAGAGTCTTAATGAGAGATCTCCATAAGGAAATCGCTAGGTTGGAGGGATCACAAGTGGGTCAGGGCTCATTCGCTCTTCCCCCGAGTTCCTTCCTCTCCCCCACTGCTCTCCCTGCTTGTGGCGTCCCTGGAACGCCCTCCCAGGAAGAACTCTGGGGTGTTGAGCTCTGGCTGCCTCACTAGCAGGTAGCACTTGGGCAGGTGGAAGGCCACCAGTATGCCCAGGGCACAGAAGAGGACCGCACCCATCTGCACGGCAGGCTGGTGGGCCACCTGCACATTGGCCAGGAGGGGCACGAAGGAGACCCAGGTGATGAGGTAAGCCAGTGTGGCAAAGGTGAGGCCACGGGCACGGCTGTAGCGACCAGGCTGGCTGCGTACCAGGAAGGTACCCAGGAAGCAGAGGGAGGCCAGTATGGCATTGAGGGTGTGCACCAGGCCAAGGCCAGCCCAGGAGTGCACGCGGCAGTGTACCAATGCCTTTGTGGGCAACACGTGCCAGTCCATCACTACCTCTGGCCGGAAAGCTATCAGGTACCAGGCACACAGCGCTGCCTCCACCAGCAGGGCTAGCACCACCACCATCCAGGCACAGGGCCCCCGCAGGCGGCTGTGCAGCCTGTCTGCCCAGCTTGGCGGTAGCTCTGACTCCACGAAGGTCTCGGCTGCCTGCAGGAAGAGTGTGCTCAGGCAGCCTGTGAGTGGGAGGTGGCATAGTGGCTGCTGGGCCAGGCAGCTAGCGGGGCTTGGCCGGCCAGGGAATAAGAGGCCACTGAGGCAGACCAGGCCCAGGCAGGCCAGGCCAAAGCAAGCCAGCAGCCCACCTGAGGCCTGCACCAGAGGGCTGTTCCGGTGGTGGACAAAGAGACCCAGGGCGGCCAGCACCAGGGCCAGCACCAGGCCCAGCAGTAGCAGCAGCACCAGCACAGTCGGGTCCCCCCAGGCTAGGAATGTGTGTCTCCTGGAGAAGCACTTCCGGCTCCGTTGCGGGGACCACTGATCCTTTCTGCACGGAGTACAGGTGGGGTCCTCTGCAGGAGAGGGGACAGGTGCTGGGAGCTGGCCTCACCCCTCTGTGGCACTGGCCTACAGCTAGGACTTGGTGGGGGCTCCCCCTGTTTGTTCCCACCTGCTGCCAGATACAGGGCTCACCTGGCCCTCTGTCTGCTTCTGCCTGCTGGCAGGCAGGAGGGCTCAACCGGACCCTCTGGGTCTGCTCCCACCTGCTGCCAGACAGAGGGCTCACCTGCCCCTGCCCCAGTCTGCTCCCACGTACTGCCAGGCAGAGGGCTCACCTGGGCTGTGCTGGTAACTGCCTGGCTTGCAGTCCACACAGTCGTAGCAGCAGGAGTGGAAACCCTTGACTCGGCGCACCTGGCCTTCTTGGCACTGCTGCGAGCACTGGGACACCGGCACCTGGGCAGGGCCTTGGAGTCCAGCTCTGCTCGGCAGCCAGGAGTGCCCACCAAGATTGGGATGGGCTGCACCTGGCTGGGGGCCACAGTGTGTAAGGGCCCTGTGTGCCCCTACCCTCGCTCACCCGGTTGGAGTGTGTGTGCCAGCAGATCTTGGAGCGCTGCAGCCACAGGCTCCCATTGAAGGTGCCCACAGTGCGCAGCTCAGGTGTTGGGTCCCGCCACACCCATAGCTTCAGGTCGTACTTCAGGTTCACATTCCCACCGGCGTCAAACCGCAGCTCTAGGCCACCAGCTCGGAAGCTCATGTTGTACATGTTCTCCAGGAGCTGGGGAAGGCCAACCTATGAGATGGGTCTAGTCCCGCCTGGCAGCTGTGGCCAGACCCAGCTCCCATGTCCTCACCTGCCAAGGCCGCACGGGCTCCCGCGCAGGGCAGCCGGAGCTGCTGCACTGCAGCGTGTTGTGCAGGGCCTGGGCCACGCTGTACACGGCTGCATAGGCGGCAAAAGGCCGGTGGTGCAGTAGTCCAGCTGATACATTCTGCAATGTGATGTGGTCACACTGTGGGCAGCGGGGCCCCACCACATGCTCCTCCAGGCCTGGCTGCTCAGCCTTCAGTGAGGCACAGAAGGCTGGGTTGGCAGCCAGGTGCAGGCGGTTCTTCACGTACTGAGAGAAGTTGGGCAGCAGGTCACCCTGATGCAGGAAGCCGAGCACCGTTCCCATCTGGGTCATGCCGGGCAGTTCCATGACCAGGTCAGAGGTCAGCCAGGCCTCACTGGCCACCCACACCTTGGGTGAGAGATTAAAACGGATGCTATAGCTGAAGAGTAAGTGGGCAGCATGGGCAGATGCAAATAGCACCACCACCTGCACGTTGCTCTGGTTGATCTGGTGCAGCAGGGCCTGCACCTTGCGCATCACCAGGTCATTGGCACTAGACAGCGGCACCAAGCCCTCATGCGCGATGCAGATACCCTGTGTGCTGGCCATGCTTGAGAAGATGCTTAAGCCCTGACGGCCATACTCATCATCACTGCCCAGGGCAGCCACCCAGTTCCAGCTGAATTCTTGTAACAGTTTCATCACAGCCAACAGCTGTGTGCGGTCACTGGGCACTGTGCGGAAGAAGGAGGGGAAGGTCTCCCGGATGCTGAGCCCATCCATGCTGGCACCATAGCTGACCTGCAGGGGCTGAGAGCCACCTCCTGACACAAGGGCTCCCACAGTGGGCCACCCCACACTCCCACTCAGGCTGCTCCCACCTCCCACCTGTTGCACACGGGGCTGCTGGGTCCTGGGGGGTTCTCTGGGGAAAAGCCCACCTGAGGCATGAGGAAGAAGCCAAAGAACTTTCCCGTGATGAGGGCAAGCTCCGAAGAGTGGGGCCCGATGACAGCCAGCACACGTGGCTGGTAGCGCGCATAGTCACAGTAGGCAGCAATGCTGCAGCTGCCGGCCTTCGCCAGAAACATCAGGCTGGGCTTCATGGCCACCACAGGCTCTGAGCAGGTGTCAAAGAGGTCATAGCCCAGCTGCAGCCCCGGCAGCAGGGTGGACCCATTGTTGATCTCCTCAACGGCCATCTTCATAGCCAGCGCCCAGAGCAGGCCAAGGGGTGAAAACCTGAGGCCACAGGGAGCTGCAGATGGCTGAGTGGGCCTCGGCGGGCACTGCAGGCCTGAAGACACCCCTCCCAGCACCCCACGCCCTTACCCGGGCTGCTCCCGCCTCCCACCTGTTGCACACAGGGCTGCTGGGCTGGGTCCTGGTGCGGAGACCGGCCTCCTCAGCTGCTCCCAGCGGGAAGAGCCCACCTAACACATAGTTCCCTGGCATTCTGAGCTGCTGTGACAGGCACAAAGGGGCCCCTGTCCCAAAGCCCAAGAGAGTTGCGAGGCTGAAGCCCAGGACAGCAGGGCCTGGCATGGTGGGTCTTCTCTTCACTCTAGCAGAGTCAGGAAGTGGAGTACTGGGCAGCAGTTCCAGATATAGTGAGCACAGGGGGAGCAACTAAGGATTTGTTTAACAAAACCCTTGCCATCCTCTCCTGCCCAGCCCCCAGGGTCCCTGGCCATGTCCTCGCCTTTTCTAGGCCTGAGGTATGTGTACATCACACCCTGCTGCCACCACCACCAGACTCCTAGCAACTGCTGGCTGTGGCCTTGTCACTCGCCTGTGCCCAAGCCTCTTGGCTCAGCCCTCCTTAGCCATATGGCAGACTGGGAGGGGTCCACCCAGGGGCCTGGAGGCTCGCTGCTTGTGGGAGGGGTGCAAAAGTGCCAGTGCATGGGCGGGAAGGGGCTCCTCATGGGCACAGAAGCACCTTCTCCAGCAATAGGTTTCTGGCCTCTAAGGCTGTGCTGTCAGCTGGTGGGGGCTGCAGGGGTAGCCCCTTCAGGCCTGCAGACCAGTCAGGAGGCTGGTGGATAGCTGGCCATCCAGGCCTCCACCTGTAGCTGAGTTGGGGCCAAACCCTCCAGCCTGCCTGGCAATAATGTTCCAGCATGTGTTGGCCATTCCTCTGCTAGGGTGTCATGTTTAGAAGCTGTGGAGCCTATGGCCAGGTGCTACACTGCTGATCCCCACAGGGGTACCCCAATATGACAGGCGTGCAGGTGTCTCCTTCTGGGGACAGGGCTCACAGCTGGGCCTGAAGGAGGAGCCCATGCAAATAAGGGAGGAAGGTCCATGACCAAGTGGGCTGGTGCAGGTGGCCTGTGCACCAGGTGTGTACATGGGGGGCCACACAGCTCCTGCAGAGGCTGTGCCTGGCTCTGGGCCTATCTTTCCTTTGTCTGGGGCTGGAGGAGTCCTTGATGACACCCCAGGCCCCGTGCTGAGAGGAGCTGGGGGAGGCCTTTGCCTCTCGTGCCACCCTGTGAGGCATATGCACATGGATGTGTGGCCCTTGCTGTTTGGCCAAGTGGACCCCAGGCTGTCCTCCCTGGTCAGTTCCTCTGTCATTGGCCATTGCCGGCACCATGTGTGTAGATGCAGCACACTGAGGCCAGGGAGGGGTGTCAAGCAGACCCTGTGCCACTTGGATACTTTCTGCCTGGGCCACTATTGCAGCTTGGAGCTGCCCCACCATAGGCCTGAGCAGCCCTCTTCTCCCTGCTCCCCTTTCTCCTCAGCCTCAGACATCTCTCTCACCCAGCCCCTTGGGGGTTGCCAAGTCTCTGCATCTCAATTTCCTCACCTATGCAGTGGGCACAAAGACAGACCTCACAGTGGGGGATACAAGTTGAAGCCCCTGCAGGAACAGCCCTTCACATACCTCCTCCCCCACATGGCTGCCATCTAGGGTGTACCTCAAGCCAGACACTGCTCCCCAGCATGGCCACATGGTCTCAGCCCCTTGGGGTTGGTGTGTACCCACCTCGGCTGTGTCCTGGGGGGTCAGGCCCCTCTTTGCCCTCACATGGGACCTCCCAGTTTCCCTCCCTCTGGGTAATCAGGCGCCTGGTGTACTAACATCTCCATTCTGGAACACCATCAGTGCAATTTATTCCTGTTGGAAAACACATTACACTTTCCAAGGGACCAATAACCCCCAAAACTTGTGCATCTGATGTCCCCACTGCACCCTGAGGGCCTGGGGTCCACTAGGCCCCACGTGTGGGATGATGACTAGGCTGGGGCAGGAGTCTGATAGTTGTTACCTAGACAATGGGGTCCAGCCCCCTCCTTTTCTATAACCCCTGAGTGTCTAGAGCGCTGCGGGAAGGTAACAAGGGGCAGTGGTGAAGGAACAGTTTCCCCTGGGCACTGGGGCAGAGTCACAGCTCCCTACAAGAGGCACCTATTGTATCTAGGAGCTCTGCAAGGGCTGTGTCCTGGGATGTTTAGGGAAGTTTGGTTCAGTGGTTCAGGTCCCACTGGTGCTGGCCTGCCCAGTATGCTTTGTGACAACCAGGCAGTAAGGGGTTAGGGAAATAGCTTGGCTGCCCAGATCCCTGACCTAGGGACAGGTGGCCCCCTGGGCACAGACACTGGCATCCTGGGCCTGAGATGTGCACAGGAAGGACTTGTGCTGGCTGGCGGGGAGGAGAGAGCTGCTCCACCCTAGGGATCTGTGACCTCACCTCACTCCTAGATTCCACTCAAGCTGGGTGAGGCCTGTCATGCTTTGCACACACTGACCCTACCCCCACCTTCTTTACTCCCTGCCCCTCAGTTAGGGTGACTGAACAAACACATGCAGCTGGAAGCAAGGCTGGGCACAGGCTTCTTCCTGGCCTGGCCACAGCCTCCACTGTTGTAGCCGGTGACTCCAACATGCTCAGCTTGCAGGGTGACAGTGGATCTCCTGTTCTCAGGGCACCCAGAAAGCACTGTCATAGGATCAACGGGTCCTGGCTGTCTGAGCCCCACTCTGCAGCAGGGGATATCCACCTGGCCTAGGCCCAATGCCGCTAGGGCAGGTCCAACAGGGAATGCTCAGTGTAGAGCTTCTGAGAGACAGTGTAGACACGCTCAATGAAGGGCAGGGCCTCGCCCAGCATCTCCACAGCCTCCTCAGTGGTCCCCACATTCATGGCCTCAAGGAAGGCCTTGCGTGTGGGCAGGGTGCAGAAGGCTACAGTGACAGCCCGGCGCACGATCCAAGGGTGGTAGGCAGCCAAAGAGGCATTGTAGGAGTCGGTGCAGAGCGTGGAGGTACGCGCATCCTCAGGGCTGGTGCGCAGGCCTTCCAGGAAGAGCTGTAGCCACCGCAGGGCACGGTGCAGGCGCAGCACCGTCCGGCAGCCCGAGTCGGGGTGGCGGGAGCGGCGCTCCAGGTCCACCAGCTGGTGGCCCAGCTCATACGCCACCATGGACTGCAGGCTCTGGTAGTGCTCGTGCTGGGGACCACCCCGCAGGCGCTCTATGATCTGCAGCTTGGAGACCACATCCTTGGAGATGAATGAGAAGATGGTGCCCAAGCTGTTCAGAAACCTGCCCAGAGGAAGCAGGAGCTCAAGTCCCCCCTAGCCTCTGGCAGCAGAGCTAGGAAAGCTGGGTGGGAAGCCCTGGGGCAGGTGGCAGCCAGACCCTCTCCTAGCCTCTGGGCCCATCCCTGTGCAGGGAGGCAGATCCATACACGCACCTGACCAAGCCCTTCCAGCTGGTGATGTAGTGGTCCAGCAGGACCTCTTCCTTCTCGTTGAGACATTGCTTAAAGCTGACCAGGACAACCTTCAGGTTGAAATCTGTCTCTGGCTCATCCATTTTTTGATACAAACTGAAACATACAGGGCAGGACTGGCAGGTTGTCTTGCTGTGGGTTGGGCTCACGCCAGAGCTCATTTTTTTGGTGTGGGGGGAATAGGTAGAAAACAGCTATGCTGTCCACGGAACCCACTCCACCTGAGACTGCCTGCCCCACCCCTTGTCAGGGTTACACACCCAGATCTTGACACAGCCCTCGGGCCACTGACTCTGGCCAGGCCTTGATGGCTTTGCTTTAACAGACCACTCAACCATGTCCTGTCTGTAGCAGGTGTCTCTGCTGATGCCTTCTGGTTTGCTTGTGTTTTGTTTCTCCCACTAGGGTCTGTCTGTTTTACTAGCTGGAGAATATTTATTAAGCCCCTCCCAAGAGCTAGGTACTATTCTAGGAATGTGGGTGCACTGTGAACAAGTCAGACAAACAGCCCTCCCTATCGGAGGGCTTAGACAATAACAAAGACAGGAAGTCCTAGGCCGGAGGTAGGGTGCAGATAAATACTGTGGAAGATGATGACGGGGACATGCCCACCAAGCAGGTTGCCTCCCTAACTGCTATATTCCCTAACCCAGAGCAGCAGCTGTGGAGGGTGCCCACTGGGTCAATGGACAGATAGAAGAACACCAATTTTTTCATTCCTAATGGTGAAACTGGACATGTGCCACTCAGGAGAGTGGCTGGGCCAAAGCCTTATCACACTCAGGAGATGGCCACAAGCCCTCTCTGCAACCCTAAGGCACCTTCTGGAAGTGGCCCAGGCCCTGCTCTGGCTTCTGCTTACATTCATACAGTCACTCCACAAACATCCAATCACCCATGCCTGATGTCTGGTTACAGTGCTGTAGCAGCTCTGATGTGTCTGGGGCATTCAACTGCATCTCACCTCACCTCAGAGGAACTTTCACCCTGCTGGGTCTAGGGGGCTTCCTGTGCTCTTGGTGCTGGGAGCCCTGCCCTGGCCTCCTGGCCTGCAGGGCCCCAACACAAGGGCGGGAATCCACCTGTGGTAAGAACCCCAGCCAAGAGCAATACACCTGGGTCCCTGTGAAGGTCTGCCTCCCACTCAGTGGGCAGGTTGCTCATTGTCTTGACTCAGTCCTTCCTCTCTGGGAAAAATGGGCTGCATGCTCTGCCCTGATCAAGGCCCAGGCTGCCACAGCCTTGGTGGGGCCCAGTGGGTGCTGAGACTCTGCAGGCCCCACAGGTTGGGCTGCATGCTTGGCACTGGGCTGGAACCCCAGGGAGGAGCTCACTTGTCTTCTGGTGTGGGGAACAGCAGTACCTGGCCTCAGGAAGATGGTGCCTGGAGACTTGTGGCAAGCCCTTCCTGGTTCTCAGGGCCAGTGCACTGGTCACTGAGCAGAGGGCCTTTGAGGCTCCCGGGCTCCCCTCTTGGTCACCAGATATTCTGCCGCACTGGCTTCCTGCTCAAAACCCAAGTCGGCAGCCAACAAGGTGCCTCCAGGAGCCTCTCAAAGCTGCCTGCTAGAGAACCACAGGAAGGGCAGCCCGCCAAGGTCAGGGCCGGAAAGGCAGGGCCAAGCACCAGCCCTGGCTGAAGGCAGGTTGGAGCCTGGTAGTAGCAAGTTCCCGCGTGGCTGGGCGGGAGCAGGGCCCTGACTCGGGAGCTCTGCAAGTTTCACCTGGGAAGGGGGGCTCCGACAGCACCGCCTAGCCAGGCCACCGTCCTGGCGGGTCCCTGTTCCGGCCGAGGGCCCGGGCGGGGCAGAAGTCGACCTGAGCTACCGCCTCCCTTCAGCTGCCCGCTCACCTGGGTCCCTACGGGGATGCCCCCTTCCGCGCCCAAAGTCCCACCAGTTGCGCTCAGGTACCCGCGCCCGAGCCCCAGGCGACCTGCAGACCCCAGGAGTTCGGTTGGGCCGGCGCCGCCTCGGGAGACCTGGCCCCATCCTCGCCCCGCCCCCTCGGCCCAATTGGTGGCTGGACTCCCAATCAGGAGGCCCGACGTGCTGGGTCTCGTTTCCGGAGAGCTAGGCCGGAAACCCGCGCGATTACGCCTGCGCAGCGCGCCACCACGCGAGCCCAGTGTGGCGGGGTTGCCGTGCCCGGGTGCACAGCGGGTGGTCCTCCGGCTTTTTCTGCTGGCTGTACGCGAGCGTGGAGGAGACACGCTGAGGGTGCCCTTGCCGCGGCAATGCCTGAGATCAGAGTCACTCCCCTGGGTGAGTGGGCGCAGCCCTGGAGCTTCGGGACATGGGTCCGGGCGCGCACTTCCCCTCGCATGGCCCTGGGGCTGGGCCTTATTCGTGGCTAGGGACGCTTCCCGACCCCTGGATATGGTCAGAGGAGGCCCCGAGCAGGCAGTGAGTTGTCCACCCGGCTGAAGGCCTCCAGACGCGCACTGGCCCCCACGGCAGGCCCCGCTGCGGCCTCGTTGGAGTGGGGCGCTCCAGCACCCGCTTCGTGCTTGGCAAGGCTCTGGGGCCAGGGCTAGTAGGCCATCCTGGCTGCGGTCTGCGGCCGAGGACGCGAGCCGCGCGCTTGCTCAGCTCTTCTTTTCTCTGTCAAGCCCTCGTGCGGAGAACCACCGCATAGTGGTTAACGAGGAAAGGGCATAGGGCTTGGGTGCTGGGTGTTGTCTCTCTGCATCCCAAGTTTCCTAGGAGTGAAGTGAGAGTGAGATCCACGAGGTTCAGGTGATGGTAAAGTGGAGTACTTGTGACACCTGGTGTCACATGCGTCCTGCAGGGCTGCTGCCTCTGCCAGTTTTCAGCAGTGGTGTGGGAGCCCAGACAGAGGCTTCTGACCCCCTCGCTAGGTGTTTTTATCACTGCATTTACCTCCTTTTGCACGTGGGCTGCTGCCTGCCTCTTCCTTTCTGCCTACCACTACCGCCTGGTGCTTATGCCTGGCTTAGCTGCTGTCAATTTTCAGTTCACTGCTTGTTTTTTTTTTTTTTTTGAGACAGTCTCACTGTATCACCCTGAGTAGAGTGCCGTGGCATCACAGCTCAAAGCAACCTCAAACTCTTGGGCTTAAGCAGTTCTCTTGCCTCAGCCTCTCAAGTAGCTGGGGCTACAGGCGCTTGCCGCAACGCCCAGCTGTTTGTCATTGTTTGGCAGGCCCGGGCCAAGTTCGAACCCTCCAGCCCCAGTGTATGTGGCCATCCCCCTAGCTGCTGAGCTACAGGTGCTGAGCCAGTTCAGTGCTTGTTTTACCTGATCTCTATGGTATAACTTTGCTTTTTGCAAAAAGTGTTCAAGTGCACATTTTTAAACATTCTGATGGTATAGAACAGTGTGAAGGAGAGAAGAATTAGTCCCAAGAACAACTGGGGATATCGTTCTGGTGGCCAGCCCTCTAGTGTCCCTGGGTGTTCTCTGTGCATGCACTTCCTGCGCTGTCCGGAGCCTGTTTACTTCATTGAGCAGGGTGTTAGGAGCATCTTCCTGTGTAGACACTGTACACAGGACTCTGTGTGCATCCCCATGAGTCCATCCAACCACTGGCATGGACACGGAGCTGTCAACAGCTGCAGTGAACACCCAGGCTGCACACCCTATATTGCCATGAGCACTGTAGTCCCCTGTGGCCTTTCCCAGTTGTTGGCACAGCCAGCTGCCCTTTACCCCCACCCCAGCCACTGTGGTCTTCTGCCCCTCATATTTCATCTCCTCGCCTTAGAACATCTTGAGTTCCCTGGGAACAAGGATGTCTCCTTTGTTTTCTGCTGAGTTTTGTCCCCTCCCCAGCTCTAGGCTTTGTCCCCACTGTCTTTGCTTCATGGGGTTGTCATGGATCCTGTTGGGAGCAGAACTGCCAGTGTTCAGGACCAGGGCTTTGGAATCCAGAAAATGGACCGCAGCCCCACACTTAGTTTTGTGTACATCTGAGTGTCTCTGTGACCTTGGATCCTCCCCTGTGAACAGTGGTGTCCCTTCCTTCCTACAGATGTGTGGAGGGCATCTGACATGGGCATGGCTTTGGGGATTGTGGTGTAGAGGGAGGAGACAGCTGAGGCCCTGTCCTTAGGAAGTTCCTGTGATAGTGGGGGGAGATACAGACCTGTCAACACAAGACCCTAGCCTGTGGCTGGGCTGCCTGAGGCTAGTGGGCGCTGGACTGTGGCCTGCTCATTTTGAAGTGTGTGGTATTAATGTTGGATGCTTCAGGCAGAAGGCAGAGGATTCAAGATGGAAATCAGATCATTCACTCTCATCAGGTCTAGGCTGTGCAGAGGCTGTGTCTCTTTCCTTGTGGCCTCCAGACCCCAGAGAAGGTGACAGGTGGCCACTTGGCGGGGGTAGGGTGGCTGTTCCCAGCCTGGCCAAGGTCTCCACCAGAGCAGTTGAGCAGGACTGCCTGGTTGTCAGGAGTGTGGAAGGGACTAGATTAGGGTCTGAGTTGGGAGATATGGCAAGATTTGCAGTGGTGCAGAGCTAGTGCTACTCACATGTCCAAGGTGTCGTGTTGCACTTTTCAGCCCACATGTCCGGTCACACAGCAGCCTTGGTCCAGCTTCCTTGGCACCCTGAGGCCCTTGCAAGAGCCTGGGAAGCAGTAGGGTGGGACTGAGGATCACTTTTACCAGTGAGGAGGGAGACGAGGACCTGGAAGTGCCTCTTACCTGTCCTTCCCCTTGAGCAGGGGCTGGCCAAGATGTGGGCCGAAGCTGCATCCTGGTCTCCATCGCGGGCAAGAATGTCATGCTGGACTGTGGCATGCACATGGGCTTCAGTGATGACGTGAGTCCTCTGGGTTGGTGGCCAGAGGGGTTGGGAGGGCCAGCCACCCTACCTGTTCCTTGTAGCTGTCTGTAGCTGGCCTTGGAGCAGGACAGATGAGGCAAGTGGACAGTGGTGGTCTCCCTGGACAGCCACAGCCTGGAGGGGGAGTGGGGGATGGGCCAAGGGCCTCCTGGGTGGCCTCCCAACACTTGACAGGTAGGACCAGGCTGAGGCGAGCCTTGGCAACGGGGTGGGGGTGTTTCCATCTGTACAGGACCCAGGCCTTGGTGGTTACATTGTCCTTAGAGGTCAGCTCAATGAGATTCAGGGCTCATCTCCTGGCTCTGGTTCATTAGTTGGGGGTGGGGGGGTAATGGAGGTCATGAGCAGCCAGGGTCCTGGTGCCTGTGGGGAGTCTGTGCCCAGTCTCCTCTCTCAGGCCACTCCCTAGGGTCCCCCATGGCTGCCTGGAGACTGGGGCAGCAGCTGCACTCTGACCTTCCTCCTGGCTCCCCTCAGAGGCGTTTCCCCGACTTTTCCTACATCACCCAGAGTGGCCGACTGACAGACTTCCTGGACTGTGTAATCATCAGGTGAGCACTGTCTGACCTTAGTCTCTGTGGAGTGTCACCCAGTGGGTCACATGATTCTGTCCCTGGGCTATCTGGGGGGCTTACGCCTTGGAATAGCAGTCAGCCCTGTGGAGCCAGGGTCATTCTGGCAGGCATGCTGCTGGCCATCCCCCTGAGTGTTGTGGATTTGAGTCTAACAGGTGCCAGGGAAGATGGGGTGACGGGACTGTAGGGCCCTTGTGCAGAAATGGTGCATTTTGCTCCTCAGGCCACTCCTACTCCTCAGGCCCTTCCTACTTAGCCTCAGCAGTATTCGGCAAGGGGCATTGTCCCTACTGGGCTTCCAGGCTCTGTCGTCTACCCCTCTCACACTGGTTGCCCGTCTCTCTCATTTCCCTGCCTTCTGGGTTCTGTCC